CCCTGCCGCAAAATTTTATTAAGTTGGAGGTCATCCATCTACTTCCTTTTTTCTCTACAGATTTAATTTACAGCGAAAAAAAGGTTTTTTTTTTCATAAGCATCAGAAATAGGGCTTTCAAAAGAAATCACATCAATTCAAATCCAAATCAGAAATACTCCATAAACTAGATTAAGCAAAAAAAATGAACTTTTCAGAAAAAAATCACATCAAGCTGCAGAAAAAATATGGCGGAGTAACCTAACGCGGCATTAGGAATGAACTCTGAATGAATTCATGGTTAGCACCTATGGTGCCAAGAACAGAAGCACGAGAAGCTCTGCACCTTCGCTCAGTTGCTGAAACCTCAAGAACCCTAGAAAATAAAAGAAGAAAGAGGAAATTTTTTTAAACCCAAGAACGTGGGGATTTGGCTTTTGAAGTATAAAGGCATGATTGAAATCATTTTACCTGATGCAGGGTAGCGTTCGCGAATCAGCGAGAATAAGGAATGGCAAACACGATCGAAGAGAATGCGTGCATTCGACGGAGGCGAAGCGATGGAGGCGAGGCCAAGCGCGACAGAGGTGAGGCCAAGCGCGACGAGACGAGGCGAGGCTAAGCCTGACGGAGGCGAAGCGCGACGGAGGCGTAGGGACGGAGGCGAAGCAGTTGAATACAAGAAAAATGAAAAACACGGTTACTTATCCACGATTGTTGTGTTAGTGCCTTAGCGCCAAATCACCGCGCGAAATTAAAATATGCCCTAACACATATCTCTTAAGGCACTTAAATATAAGTGTCTTAATATATATGTTGTTATAAAATATATTTTTTTTTAGTGGTCCATTGGTCTCCTAAGAGGTTTCCTTTAAAGGCCCAAGCCTTGGGACCACTGGGTTAGCCATATGGCTTGACCTAAGTGTTCAATGGAGGCTAACCATAAGCCAAAATTCACCCTAGGTCACCTCTGACCAAGCCAATTGTTGCATTGGTTTCACCATGACCTAATACATATACCCTTTACCCATTAAACTTTCCATCTCGCCCTGACCTGAGCAATGGTTGATGGTAGATGGAGTGAATGGCAATGATTCAGGGGCTATCCAATCACTTGCCTTAGCTAAAGCCCTTTCCTGGGCCTGAATTTGCCTTCTTCAAGCTCAGAGAGTCTTCCTAGGTTGTTCTCATCCAGCTAGCAAGCATCTAACAGTCTCGCTAATCGATCATGGTCATATGTCGCCATGGCCAATGTATGAATAGGGCCTTCTCACCTAGACGCCCTCATTCGCCTCTAGCTTTTTGAAATTAATCCTTTGAGCCCTTTGAGCATTCCCATTTAAAAAATGTAACTTCAACTCTTGGAATTTTAGA